TGACATTCTGGATGCAAGGGTTCCAATTGTGAAAATGTCTGACATTCTGGATGCAAGGGTTCCAATTGTGAAAATGTCTGACATTCTGGATGCAAGGGTTCCCATTGTGAAAATGCCACTTAAAGATTAAATCACTGAGAGAATCTGGAAATTTTATGAAGCCACTAACCCTTTGATTAAGAAACGCAACCCATAAAATGCATTAGGTTTATCTTACAAACAATTGCAGTATCTTGAAAATAAGAACAATATGAGGATAATTTCCAGGTGCATTTTGTCTTTAAAAAATCATACAAAAACTCCAGTTTATATCAAAAGATGTTTTATTGTTTAGTTTTCAAGTCAAAGCACTTGAAATTGTTAAATTTTTTTATATTCTTGATTCTGTGGTTTACCAGCTTTGTCTAAGTTAAACGTTGGGTGTAAAAGCAGTGGTTTATAGAATGGCAGGCATTCCAGAAACTTCGAAGTCAACTCGCTGATTGCGCCATTTTATGGCGCTATTGAACCGGTTTTATTTGGTGGATTGTAATGGATTTATAAACACAGCAATAACGCGGACTGAAATGAAAGCTTTCATGATACGAACAAGTGAAGAAACAAACACACTTTAGATATGTTACAGTCAATTCAAGTTCACCAGCTAATACGTTAAAAAGTTTAAAAGAAAAATTTATTTATAGCAATTACAATTTCTAAAATACTTGGAATATTTTCTAATCGTTTCTAGTTTAGAAAAGCACCACATAATGGCTCATTATACATTCATTTATTTGTTTCTCTTCTTCAGAGAATGATATTCATAAAGACAAGAAGATAGAGCGAGAACATTTAAATGGAATTAATTTATAAAAGCGTTTTTTTTTGTATTAAATTTGAAGTAAGTGAAAGATAAACTACTTGCAGAAAGAAGTACGTTTCTATGATTATGAAAAAACTTATTTAAAACTCTCGAAAACGATCTTTTAACTTCTTAACAATATAAATAACCATCCACACGAACTGGATATCGTAAATAATAGAGAGCATATTGTTTACAACATTTGGATCAACTTGAAACTACTTCAAGATCGACCAAAATACACTTAGTAACAATTTCCTGAGTAACATCTTAATCACTTGTAATTCAAGAGAACAAGCAGAACGAGGAAACGACATTGAAATTCACTTTCAGTCTAAATATTTCGTTGAGAAACGTTTACAAAACAAAATAGCAAGTTATAAAATATTGTTCAACAAGTATAAAGTAGCGTCATAAATAGGAGAAAAGTCACACGTACCTTTGGTAAATAACTTCACAGAAAACACGACACGATATTCATTCATTTCAGTTATTATTTGTTTCAAGTTCTTTAATATTTTTACTTTGACACGTTGAAGGAGGTTTAGAAGGATGTGCGTCTTTTATCCTGCACATTGCGTTACGCCCCTAAAGCCTCCAGAGTCACAAAACAGTTTCGATTTCAGCAATTTCGGTACTTCCAAGGGATTCACGAAAGTACCTGCCATAATCAGTGTGGGGGGGACGTAACAGGAGAGTTTCGTTGGTGCGAAGATGTCGTCTGGTTAAGTCTCTTGGAGTCCCGAGCTGAACAGGAGAAGGCCTAACGATACACACACACACACAAGAAACAAAACAAACATAAACATAATTGCCACTCATACAACTGAGTAAGAACAAAAACGTGTATGTAGAAGAGAGATTTAGAACAACGAACGTAGTACAAGTAGGATTTAGTGACAGTCTAAACGAGTTTAATAACACTTTCATTGTCTTACTAACTCAGTGTTTCCCACAGACGCCAATGGAATCAATAAAATAGCTACAATGTTGTGAGCTGAAACTATGACGTTACATCTAAACTGAAAGTATGGCGTTACATATAAACTGAAACTATGGCGTTACATATAAACTGAAACTGTGACGTTACATCTAAACTGAAACTATGGCGTTACATATAAACTGAAACTATGACGTTACATCTAAACTGAAACTATGGCGTTACATATAAACTGAAACTATGACGTTACATCTAAACTGAAACTATGGCGTTACATATAAACTGAAACTATGACGTTACATCTAAACTGCAACAATGGCGTTACATATAAACTGAAACTATGACGTTACATCTAAACTGCAACTATGGCGTTACATATAAACTGAAACTGTGACGTTACATCTAAACTGAAACTATGGCGTTACATATAAACGGAAACTATGACGTTACATCTAAACTGAAACTATGGCGTTACATCTAAACTGAAACTGTGACGTTACATCTAAACTGAAACTATGGCGTTACATATAAACTGAAACTGTGACGTTACATCTAAACTGAAACTATGGCATTATGTGTAAACTGAAACTATGACGTTACATCTAAACTGAAACTATGGCGTTATGTATAAACTGAAACTGTGACGTTACATCTAAACTGAAACTATGGCGTTACATATAAACTGAAACTATGACGTTACATCTAAACTGAAACTGTGACGTTACATCTAAACTGAAACTATGACGTTACATCTAAACTGAAACTGTGACGTTACATCTAAACTGAAACTATAACGTTACATATAAACTGAAACTATGACGTTACATCTAAACTGAAACTGTGACGTTACATCTAAACTGAAACTATGACGTTATGTATAAACTGAAACTGTGACGTTACATCTAAACTGAAACTATGACGTTATGTATAAACTGAAACTATGACGTTACATCTAAACTGAAACTACGGCGTTATGTATAAACTGAAACTATGACGTTAAATCTAAACTGAAACTACGGCGTTATGTATAAACTGAAACTACGGCGTTACATCTAAGCTGAAACTATGACGTTATGAATAACTGAAACTATGGCGTTATGTATAAACTGAAACTATAGCGTTATGTGTAAACTGAAACTATGACGTTACATCTAAACTGAAACTATGACGTTACATCTAAACTGAAACTATGACGTTACATCTAAACTGAAACTATGACGTTATGTATAAACTGAAACTATGACGTTACATCTAAACTGAAACTATGACGTTACATCTAAACTGAAACTACGGCGTTATGTATAAACTGAAACTATGACGTTACTTATAAACTGATTTGGAAATGGTTGAGTTTTTGTTAATCTTTATAAAATTGCTTGGTTTACAGATTCATTTGTTAACGAGAAAAATGTAATAAATCGCCTTCATATAATAATTATTAT